CGGCGCGAAAAATTCGGTGCGGCGACAATTCAGCGGAGCGACAATTCGGCGCGTATCTATTACAGTTGCTTATTATAAAATTTATTTTTACAAAAATCTCAATTTTATTTACTAAATGTTTAATATAGAAAAAAAATAGCTAATATTTATACCTATTTCTTTAATTCACCAATTTACCGCATTATAAGGTATGTAGTAGCCAATATTCTGTAAGCCTGGAGATTTTGCGCATAGAAGGAAGAGAGAAAAAGACAGATTTGACCTCTATCTCTAATCTTATATGTTATTTTGGCTACAATCTTATTAAAAATAGACCCAATATACCCCCCTGATAAGTATTATAATGTTAAATCTTAAATCCCCCTTTCACTCCTAATTTTAGATAATAAAAAAAATAAATAAAATTATAAAAGTTTAAAAAAATAATATACCCCTCTGATAAGTAATATAAGAATAACGAAAATTATGTTAAATCTTAAATCCCCTTTTCACGCCTAACTTTAGACAATAAATAAAAAAAAAATTATAAAAGTTTAAAAAAATAATATACCCACCTGATAAGTAATATAAGAATAACGAAAATTATGTTAAATCTTAAATCCCCTTTTCACGCCTACTTTTAGACAACAAAAAAATAAATATTATTATATTTTATTTTGGGATTTTCTCTTTTTGTTCAACAATTTTAAAGAATTCAATCATTATTTTTCTCAAATAAAAATAAAAGTTTACATTCTAAAAAACATAAAATCTAAATCTCCTTATCTTTAGTTTTTCCGCCTAACTATTGACAAAAAATTAATAAAAGAAATATATTTTATCTTGAAATTTTGTCCTTTCTTCCATTTTAAACAGTTAGTAAAAAAACTTTATTTTTTTTCTTTTTCTTTTCTTTTCCTTTCATAATTTAATCTTTATAATTTCTTTCCATAATTTAATCATTATAAATTAAAAATTCCTGATAAAGGTAAATATTAATATTATCTCTGTATATGATTTATAATTTTTATACATTTATTTTTAAGAATGCCTTTAAAATATGTTATAAGTGATGAACGTGGGTCAAAACAACTTGTTCATGATCAATACATATTCAGGAAAGAGAGAACTATAAATCAAAAAATAATATGGAAATGTGTTGAGTCGTACAAATTATTGGAAGGTAGACCTACCCATTGCAAAGGGCGGTGCCAGTGCCATACATTAAATGAACAAGTAATTCTTCATATAGATAATCATAATCATGTGTTAGATGGTAGTGAGATATTAAAAACCGAATGTTTAAATAATATTAAAAGACGTGCCATTGAGATGACTGATACACCTCAAAAAATTATAAGCATTGCAATAGCAGGGGGTTCCCATTCCTTTATGCTGCCATTCCATCCATCGCGTCAATAAAGCGGACCATTCAGCTGGCTAGATCGCTTACAGTTTTCTCCATTACCTAACTCGACGAACAGTTATGATCTTGATTTACCCGATATCTATAGAATAACATGTTCAGGGTTGCCATTCCGACAGCAAGTATTTGCAACCGGAACTGCCAAGAATTTTGATATTCACCACCGCCCAAAACCTTACATTATGGCGGAAAGCAGTCACTGGTATGCAGATGGCACATTTAAGACAACCCCCTTAATTTTTCACCAACTTTGGACTCTTCATGTCCTATATCATAAAAACATTTAAGACAACCCCCTTAATTTTTCACCAACTTTGGACCCTCCATGTCCTATATCATAAAACGATTGTACCCACAATTTTTGCGTTATTACCAAATAAAACCCAGATCACATATATAAAGGTTTTGGATGAGATAAAAAGATTAAAAAATAATCTAAATCCTATATCGGTAATGATCGATTTTGAGCAGGCAGAAATAAATGCCATTACACATTCATTTCCATCAATAACTGTAAGAGGGTGTTTTTTCACATGACCCAAGCGATTCGGAGACATATACAAAGTGAGAGCGAGTTGCTAGCATATTATTTAGATGGAGATACAGGAAACGAATGGTCAATAAAAATTAGACAAATCATCTCTCTTGTATTTGTTCCCATGGAAGACGTATTTGATGCCTTTTATGGACTTTTACAAACACCCTTTTATCAAGATAATGAAAGAGTCTTAGATAACCTTATTACATACTAATACTATGAAGCGAATTGGATTGGTAAAATTCTTCGTGAGATAGAGAAGCACCAAGGTTTCCAATTCCCCTTTGGAATCAATATGTTGCTACATTGAAGGGAATCCCAAAAACAAATAATGCAGTTGAAGGTAATTTAAAAAAAATTTATTATTTTTTGATCATTAATACACATCATTTTTTATTACTTTGCAATTATTTTTTAAATGTTGGCACAGAACATTCTCATTTCTGCTATCATCGCACCATCCCTCTATTTGGAAATTTTTAGATGCTTTACGCTTAGAACATTCGTCAACCCAAAAATAACAATTTATTTTTGACACGCAACCCCCGAGATTAAGAAAGGTGTATCGGAATACAGCTAAAAATATTATATTAATTGTATCTGATTATTTAAACCGCCAGATTAATGATTATTTAAGGGGGATCGCTTATAATTTTAATTTACAAATATAATGTTTTTTAATAGCATGTTTTGTATAGTATATTTATGTTTTCTATGTTCATTTTATAAATAAATTAAAAAATTGAGCGTTAATTCATTTTTGATTTATATAATATAAAAAATTAGCCTAAGCATAATATTTTTTTAAAAAGGATTAATAGAATTTAAGGATTTTTAATAAATCTAAAAAATGAGTCAGTCCTAATTTGATTTTTTTTGGATCATGGCTGGGTATTCTAGCCAAAATAATATGTAAGATTTGAGATAGAGATTCGAACCTTTCTTTTTCCTTCTTTCTTATATGCCCATAATCTCGGCTTACATCGACTACTAATCAACATACCTTATGTGGTAAATTGGTCAACCAAAGAAATATGTATAAATATTGGTTGTTAATTTTTTTTGATATTACATATTTAGTAAATAAAATTGAGATTTTTGTAAAAATAAATATGAAGAAATAATTAATAGGACCAACATTCAAAATGATTTCTGTTTAATCATCCTTATTTTTTTACACTAAGTAATATATAATAAATTGCAACTGTAATAGATACGCGCCGAATTGACGCTGAGCTGAATTGTCGCCGCGCCAAATTAACGCTGCGCTGAATTGTCGCCGCCCGAATTGTCGTGCGCCGAATTTTCCGCGCCGAATTGACGTGATACCAATAAAATTACATTATAATATATTTAAAAAATAAAAATTTTAATTCAATTTTTTTTATTTATTCTTTGATATAATTTGCGGTTTTAATTTAATTATATTAATTTTTAAATTTAATTTTTAATTAAATTATATTTGGTTTGATTTTATATGAATACACTTTTAAAAAAATGGAAATTTTAAAATTATATTTTTATTCTATTTAAGTTTTTTACAAAAATAAATTGATAGTAAGTATAAATATATTGTAAGTACTGGATTATGAAGTAATTGACAAATATAAATTTTATGATATATTTTTTTTACGTTTCCGGTTAGAAAAATTTTTGTTTGTCGCGAAAACATTCAGAGGGAATAACAACATCTTAAAACGTAATTTCAAATATTATTAACGAGTTCGAAAAATATTTTTTTTGTCGCAAAAACATTCAGGGGAAAAGACTAACATCTTAATCGTAATTTCAAATATTATTGTATCATTGTACTCAGAATTAAATTTCCTATCTAAAAACTTAGATGTATTTTTTGCGATTTCCATAATATTTGAAATTGCGATTAAGATGTTAGCCTTTCCCTTCTGAATATTTTCACGACAAAAATGTTTTCGAACCGGAAAGGTAAAAAAATAATTTTGTCTTTCGTATCATGTAGCCTTTCGACTTATAGACCTTGCGCTTTCGACTTATAGACCTTACGAAAAAATACTATAAGATAAAAAACCTTTAACGATCTTTAAAATATATCTAACAAAATCTATAAATTATAAAATTAAATTTATAAATAAAAAATTAAATCAAATAAATAATAAATCTTTTAATTTTTAAAATAGAATACATTGCCTGATTTAACCAGGCAATGTGCATATTGCCGAAATAACTTATTCACCCTGCCTACCACTATAACACATTGCCGAAAAATCAGGCGATGTACACATTGCCGAAAATAACATATTGAAGCTAACATATACATTATATTAAACAATCTTTAAAATAATTAATAATAGATAATAAGAAAATAAAGTAACAAAAAAGATTTCGCAATATGGAGTATTTTTAAAAACTTTAAGGGACAAAATGACCAACAATGTAGGGAGGTTGTGAACACGGACACCTTAATATATTCAACAAGGAGACCCTTTGGGCCCTCTGATCTTTAGTTTAGGTATACATAACCTAGTTCATTGTCTAAAATCCTCATTTAATTTAGATTTAAACATATGGTATCTAGATGATGGTACCATTTGCGGACCTTCTAAAAATATTCTTGCAGCGATAGATTATATAGAGAAAAATTCTCTAAACATAGGCCTTACTCTAAATAAAGCTAAATCGGAAATATGCTTTTTAAATTCAAATACTCTCAAAGTCCAAGGGTTTAAAATCATCAAAAAAAGTGAAATTAATCTTCTAGGTTCACCTTTAAGCAGTTTTTCCAACTGTGAGGTGTTCGTGGAAAAATTTTTCGAAGGCTTATCAGGACTCGAAACTATTTTAAACGAAATTCCTTCACACCAGAGCTTTTTTCTTTTAAAAAATTATTTATTTTTACCAAAGATAGTACATATTTTTAGATCTTCTTCCTTTTTTTTAAATAATGAAATTATTAATCGTGTTCATGAATTTTTTAGAAGTTTATTAGAAAATATTTTAAATATTAAATTGGAAGATTTTAATTGGGGTTTCTCACAATTACCCTCGAAAATGGGTGGTTTAGATTTATATCCTTTAAACCTTCTATCTCTTTCCTCATTTTTGGCATCGCGTTTGATGAATAACGCCATGATATCTTCTTTTATCTCTCCTAAAGATAACCTTTTAAACTCAGCCTTGACAGCCTGGACATCTTTAGCTCCACCTGAAGCTGTCTTACCCACGATCTTAACACACCAATCTCTTTTCGAACCTTTAATTAAAAATTTTTTTAAAATAATCTCATCAAACCCCCCTTTGGAGTATATTCAACTATTACAGAATGCTGACTGTACTAGTGGCTATGAATGGTTGGAAGCATTACCAAGTCGTAACCTAGGTAACCTCTTATCAGATGAACAATTAAGAGTTGCCATAGGCCATCGACTTGGATGTAACATTGTTCAACCACATACATGCATCAAATGTAAAACATTAGTTGACTCCAAAGGGAAACATGGTCTAAATTGTATATATAGTCAAGGCAGGCATGCAAGGCATGCAGAAATTAATTTAGCTATTAGCCGTTCTCTTACCAGGGCTCGAATACCAAACATCCTGGAGCCTACAAATTTATCGTTAGATGATGGCTTAAGACCAGATGGTTTAACTTCCGTGCCTTGGTCTTTAGGGAAATCCTTAATTTGGGACTTCACATGCGTATCTTCTTTCCCAAAAAATTTAAATTCTAATCCGGTTGATATAGCCGAGAAAAAAAAAACAATGAAATATTCCAAATTCACAAATTATATTTTTACACCGATTGTCATCTCTTCCCTTGGACATATGCCAAGTGGAACTTTAAAGTTTTTAAAAAATATAGGGGATAAGATAAGAGCCCTTACATCAGAACCTAAAGAATCTTATTTCTTAAAACAAAACCTCCAAATCATAATTTTAAAATATAACTACACATGTTTTTTGGGAACTTGTAGTCCCACCTCGGTTTTTATATAATATTTTATTTTATTTATTTTATATTATTTTAATTTAGTATGATATATATGTAGTTATTATTGATATAATGGAAATAAAATGATAGTTGTATCTAAAAAAAAAAAAAAAAAAATTTGTATATTTTTATATAACAAAAAGGATGGTTAAATTTACAACAGAATATGAAAGTGTTCAGCAAAAATAACGATGTTTATATATTTTTTATTTTTACTAATATTTAAATTTTAAAATTTTTTTAAACCTTTCACAATTTTTAATAAGTTAAATCTGAATTACAATATATAATATCATGAGTAAAAATACAATTCTATAATTTTAATTAACATTATTATTTTTTAACTTACATATTTTTTACTATTAATTTGCAGATATAATCATAATATCTCTGATTTTTTGTTTTTCTATTATTTTCATTCTTGACTATTTTATTATAAGAATTGGATATGGCTTTGAATCAAAATAATAATTTTTTTCCAATTAACACTAAAGTTCTTTTTAATAAGTGGTCGTGTTGTTAAAAAGCCCGATTTTTCAGAATGCCGGAATAAGATTTTAGCTAAAATAATATTAGGTAATTATAGAGATTTGGTAAATAGATGTCTAAGTACTTCTCTAGACTTGCATAATGTTATTTTGGTTATAATCTTAATCGGGCCGTTTTTTAAAATCGACATGAATCGATTTTTTAACAACACTAGTAAGTGGACCTATTAAATTAAAAGAGAATTTAAAACCAATCAAATACTTGTTTCTGCAGTGCACATTTTTCAAAAGAATCTTTATATCTAACATCTACAAATTATAATAATCTTGGTAATTTTAATTTATCAATTAAATAAATGTGAATTTTATGTAAGCCTGGAGATTTTGCGCATAGGTGGCAAAAAGGTGACCTCTATCTCTAATCTTACATATATTTTGGCCAAAATCTTAATCGGATGATCCAAAAAAATCAAATTACTTCTTAGAATTATTGGTAAGTGATTAACAAAAGGGAAGTCTCATGCTAGATTTGACATTTTCCTATCAATATTATTTGAAAATAATTATTGTCCTAAAAATATTTTTTCCTTTAGACTTATTTTACAAATTTATTAAAAATCCTTAAAATATTTATATTGTTAAAAGATACATATTATGTTTAAATCAGGGTTTCGAACCTAACCGCGAACGGAACGAACCGTTATAATTTAATGAGCCGTAAAAGAATCGTTATAAAGAAAATATAAAGAGTGAACCGAACTGTTATAAATATTAATTTAAACCGGTTCATGATGGTTTTTTAAAAAATTAATTTTAAATTATTAACATAAATTGAATTTTTTTTGGGTACAATTTAAATTCGTGATTTATTTTCAAATTAAAATTTTTTTTATACTTAAATTATATTTAATTAAATACCAAGTTTATTATTTTTATTTTATATATTCAATTTAATAGCTAATAGTTAAATTGAATTATATAAATTAAAAAAAATTTTCTCTAAAACCTAATCAAATTTATAAAAACCGGGTCTAACCGAAAAGACCCGTTATAAATTCTAGACCGAACCGATATAAATTTCTACAACAAAATTGAAATGGAACAAAACCTTTATAAGATTTTTTTAAAACCGAAACGAATCGAACCGCTATACTTAACGGTTCGAAACCCTGGTTTAAATAATTTGATATTTTTGGATCAATAAATCTTATAACATGGTAAATTGATCCACCAAAAATCTGGGAATAAATATTTGTTTATTAAATTAATTTTTTTTAATATTAAATATTTTATTGATATTACACAATTAGTAAATAAAATTGAGATTTTTATTTAAAAAAATGAAAAATATATTAATAAAACGAATCCTCACATGACTTCTATTTAATAATTTGTTTTATACTAATAAATTGCAACTGTATTGGTTCATTAGTAAATATGTTGATTTTTGAAGTCAAGTTTTAAAATTTGTATATAAAGGGAGAAAAATGTTAGTTTTTTAATAATACGATTGAATTAAACATGTAGTTTGATAATTTTAAATATTTTTCTTGTTTTGGAGGTTAGTAAAATTAGAATTTTCATTTGATGGGAAAGAGTGGACATAAGTGAAGTCCCAAATAATAGATTTGCGTGATTCTCAAGGGATTGTTGACCTTGCTGATCTCAGAATATCTCTGATGATAAATTGGTAGGTTCAAGAGTGTTTGTGATGTGAAATTTTTAGGCTCCAACTTATTAGACTAATTGAGATATGGCGTTGTTGTAGACCTTGACTATGTAAACAATTAAGTCCATGCTTCCCCTTAGAGATGACCAATGTGTTGCAATCAATACATTTGTGTGATTAGACGTAGTAAATCTATAGCGACTCTCAATTGTTCATTTGAAAACAGATTCTCAGGAGTTTACCGAACCTATGATGGGATTTGATAGTATGTCGTCAGGAAGGTCATTTACAAGGGTGAAAATTTTTTATCGTCAATATAAGGAGTGTTTACCAGAATACTTACTTGCCATGGATAAATTACAGTATAATATGATATCATGGTATTTGTTATTTTTAATTAAATTTCAGCTATAAAAATAATTTGCAGTTTATCGAACATTCTCACCCAACCCTAAATTTATATTTTAGCCCATTTGCTTCATAAATTTAAAAACTTTTAAAATAACGATTATGACAATTGTCACTTTTATATGGTACATCTTCATTGATATTTTATTTTAACATGTTAGCAATTTCTATTTTTGCCCATTTGCTTCAAAAAAATTTAAAAATAACAATTGTCACTTATCTAGAGTACATCTTCACTGAAGTTTTATTTAAACATGTTAGCAATTTATTTTTTTGCCCATTTGCGTCAAAAAAATTAAAAATGATTATGACAATTGTCACTTATCTTGTGTACATTTTCACTGAAGTTTTATTTTAGCATATTTTGGCCAATATACGTCAAAAAAGTATAAAAATAACTATTATTACAATAACTTTTCTGTGGTACATCTTCATGAAATTTTAATTTAACAAGTTTACAATCTATATTTATACCCATTTGCATCAAAAAACTTAAAATAAGGATTATGACAATTATCACTTATCTAGGGTACCTCTTCACTGATGTTTTATTAATACATGTTAACAATACTAATTTAACCGATTTACGTCAAAAAAATTTAAAAATAACGATTATGATAATTGTCACTTTTATATGGTGCATCTTAATTAAAATTACATGTTAAAAATACATATTTTACCGTAAAAAAATCTAATATGTTTAAAAATACCGATTATGATAATTGTCATTTTTCCAAGGAACATCTTCAATAACGAATATAAAAATTGTCAGATTAAATTATTATCCTTATAAAGATAATAAATAAAAATATTTTTAAAAAATATTATTTAGAAAACCCACCTCTTTTAATATACTTAAAAAATAGATAATTTTACAAAAATGATAAAGAAAACTATAAAAGATTTCACCTAGAAGATTGTTTATTTATTATAAAATTCACAAAAGAATTCCTCAAAAAAGATTTAAAATTTTTATCAAAATATGTTTAAAAATCTTTTTGAACTTCAAAAAATATTTTTTGCTTAAAATTTTGGGCCTGTGAAAATCACTAATAAATTGTAACAAAAATAATATTACAATAGTAGCATTTCATTTTTTTTATTAAAAAGATATCAAATAAAAGAAATCCATTTTTCATTTCATAATAATATAAATAAAAAATGGTAACAGATTAAATCATGGGGAAATTTTCATATATTATTTTTTTTATATTTATTTTTAATAATTTTTTTTTATTTATTTTAGATTGTCTGGATTTTGGTAGAAATTTTTGAATGTTACCATTTTCTTTCAATTGGCATATTTTTAGATTTTTTTTTTGATAAATAAATATCGTGTGGATTTTGAAGGAAATTTTTTGATACAATATCAAAGTTTTTTAAATTTAACATTTTACCTCTTTATGGATAACATAGAACTATTTTTGTTTTTCCTTAAAAATATATATATCTATATTATCATTGTATATATGTTATGTTTATTCAAATAAATTGATTAATTATTTAGTATACCTATTTTTATTAAATTCTTAAATATACTTTTTTTTCTAAATTCTTAAATATACTCTTTTTTTCTAAATTCTTAAATATACTCTTTTTTTCTAAATTCTTAAATATACTCTTTTTCTAAATTCTTAAATATACTTAAGATTTTTTTTAAATTTAAAAAAAATAATAAATAAAAAAATATATTTTAAAAAAAATAATCTTCGCGATATTGACTTTGCTATAAAATTTTCGCTCTAATGTATTCGCTTTAAAGGTTTTGCGATATTTCGCTATAAAAAATTCGCGATATTGTTTTCGCGGAAAAATACTCGCTAATGTGGATTCGCGATAAAAGTTTTGCTATAAAATTCATTCGCGATAAAAGTGTTTCGCGATAAAAGTTTCACTGAATTGTCATGGAACCGCAAAACACATTTCATAAAAATCTGGGCTATCATTAAAAACAATTATAAACCCAAAACAATCTTAAAAAGAATACATTTAAAAGATTCTTATTTTTTTAAAAATTTCTTATTTAAAATAGTTTTAAATGATCATATTCTAAAAATGGAATTCTAGATTTATAAATGATCAAAACTTTAAAAATATAGACTGGACCTAAAAAAAATCAACTTCTTCAAGTTTTCTACCTTTCTGAAATAGGAATTTCTGTCAATTATTTAGACTTTTAAACCTTGCAACTATTTTTTAAAAATATGATTTTATAAAACAATATTTATCCGGAAGATGGCGCTTTATAAAAATACATTTTTCTTTTTAATGATATATAAAATTATAGAAGATATGGAAATGAAATATATTTAAAAAAACAAATTTTCAATTTTAAATGATAACATGGTTTAAAAATATATATTAAAAATTATATGTAAAATATAATTCTAGGGAAAAAAACATTAAAAAGATTATACATCTAGTATTATAATAATAAAAAAAAGGAAGTATATAATTTGGAGAATATGTTTGTGACGGTGTTATAAAAAGTATTGAGGTTAAGATGGATCATCTTGTGGAATGAGACTGCCTATGAAGTTAATATAATTAGCCTTGTGTATTGCGATGGCGAACCTTTGCCTTAAGAAGATGCCCTTGCAGGGTTCATCGGTTAGTTGACGGATGAGCCGAGTTCCTTGAAAAAGGATAAGGCATATTTCCCAAAAGTAGTAAGGGTAGTGGAAATGATGGGGATGAAAATATATTCTTGAGAGATTTCAGAATATTTCGCTATTTTGAGTGACTCCCTTTTCTCAAGTATATTAAGTGTTTGATTTGATGGAGCGAGTAGATCAATGCAAGAGTAGTCCCAGACCAGGAATTGACCGCGCTTCCAAGGAATTTGCGATATTCCGTCAGGCCGTTTCCCATCAGATCTGAAAAGACCAGAAGGTTCAAGAGTGGAGGGGATTTGAGCGGATCTAAGAGCTCTAATGATGATAGAATTGCATAGATTATGTCTTACAATTCGACCTTTACATGAGCGACAATGAAGACTATGTCTACCATTGCCCAAAACTGCAGAACCGCAACCTGAACATATGTGGAGTTGGGTAATAAGATAATTTAATCGAATACAAATCGCGTGAGTATAAAATTATTTATTTAAAAATAAACTAAATAAGATGGAGGGTGTAATCAGCAAACCCCCCCCCCCCTCCAGGTAAATATAAAATATAATTAATAGAGGCCAGAAAGGGATAGCAGGTCGTTCCAAATAAAATAAGTGCCAAAATTATTTTTACTTCTGAAAGGTTTAATTACAGCATAAGCAAACTCAATATAATTGTCCTGGTAAATATTTATTTAATATTATCAATTCCATTTTACTCCATATTAATTAAAATGGAGCCTGTATTACATTATAAACACTAATGTCGTCTTATATATACCATTTTATTTATAAATTATTCGACTGAACGTTATTAAAAATGAGATAAATTTTATGTATATCGTTATTGATAAAATAATATTTCGTTATAAATGGTTCATATAGTATTAAATATGTATAGATATATTAAAATAACATAGGTGTCTTTAATTTTCAATCGTTATCACTTTCATTGTTTTCTTCGATCTTTGGTGCCAAGAAATATCTAACATAACCGATGTCCTCAATATCATATTGAACAACTAAAATTTATGATTATAAAAAAAAATTTGAAATCATTTAGAATGAATGACCTTTTAAAATAGTATATAAAAACTTAATTATTTTTCAAGGGGAGGCAGATAACTTATTTAGCTTATCCGATTAGAGTATAAGTCGCCCCGAAATCGAGCTCAAAAAATATAAAATAATATTTTTGCTTTTTTAATTATAGATAAAATGATAATTAGAATTTCTAATAGATTAGGACAAAGCAATTTAATGATTTATTATTTTATTTTATAAAAATGCGTTAAATTTATATTTTTTAAATTAAAAAATAAATTTGTTGTTATCTTTTTCCTTTCATAAAAAATTATAGGGGGGCTGGCCCATTTAAATTGTGCAAGATTATTTTAAATCGAGTCGAAAAACATTTTCGTCAACTAATTTTAAAAATTCCAATTTTTTTTGCTAACGAACAATACTTCAATTCATTTAAAAATTCAGTTGTACGAATAATAAAATTTACTATTTGTTTTTTTGATTTGAATTATAAATTTTTAAAACTTATGAAATAATTCGTAAAATACGAAAATATGTTGACAGAATTTTTTAAATATTTATCTTGTTGCACATCTAATTTTAAACAAAAAATTCGTATTCGATCAAATCATTTTTTTATTCGAATACTTAGGATGTATATCGTCATAGTTGTGGTTAAAGATAATGTTTTATGATACGAACCGGTATCTGACTTAGCAAGTTAATTAAATATTTTAGGATCCGGTACATCTCTTTGTTCAAAAAACGTTAAGGACAAAAATAATATTTTTTTGTTAGTTACTTTAAAAAATAGAGGCCAATTGATATCATATCTGATTTTGTATTCTGTAAACAAGTAATCGTTTAAATTTTTAATGATACATCTAGTGTTGCAAAATCGTTCTATTTGAGTTGAATTTTAAAAACGGTTAACTCACTATTCTATTCAGAAAAATATTATGCAAGCCTGAAGATTTTGTTTATAGTTAACACAAAGGTTTGGACATCTATTAGTGAAATCTTGAAACTTCGGTAATATTTTCTTCGCTAAAATATTGAGTTAGCGATTTTGCATCACTAATTCTACTCATCTCATATATTTTTAATAGTATAACATCTATAATTTAATTATACCATAATATAAGTCATTTAAATATATTATGATCAGTTAAAGCTTATATTCATGAATCTAAAAATATATAAAATATTTTTATTGATATAATAATATTTATCTATTTACATAATAATTAACAAACAAATATATTATGGAATTTGAAATAAATTTTTTAAAATTAAAACGCCATTTTATCGGATCTGAAAGATTTATAATATTGCCGATAACCGATATTTTTAAAAAAATGAAATATCAGCCCTATCTGTACATCCCCTCTTATAACTAACTAACTCAACGATTTTTATGTAAGTTATTAGTTGGTTTTTTACATTCGAAAAAAAACAAGCAGTTTTTTGTTGTTAACAATTGAGTATATTATATATAACCCAATTATAATAATTCTCTCACTTTTAATTTTGCGCCCAAGAAATCTTAATTAACATTTTAAATTTATAACACATTGAAAAATTTTATTTAAGTGTGTAATAATAAAAATTGGACTTCACAAACCTAATGGGACGTCCTTAGAGAGACATAATTTAACGATCGGAGAAAGTGTAGATGCTCTGGAGAAATAATTCAAATATTTCAAAGCAAAGGTTAGTTTAACGGCGTCAGTTAATTCTATTGTTAAATTGTCTGCTTCATTTTCATCTGATGTGGATTGTAGTAATGTAATCTTTCCTGAAATAATTATATATTTAGAAAATTATTAATCAAATAAATAATACATAAAAATGATTTTGCATACAAATCAGATCGATTCAGAAGAAAGGCTAATGTAACTACGAAAGAGCAAAAATTTTAGTCTTATCATTGATATTTTTGGAGATATTCGGGGTCAAATTGATATAAATGAGTATTTTTACCACATAGGCCTTCATTCAATTAATCATATTTAAAAACTACATAATTTAAAATAAAAAAAAATTCTTTAGATTTTTCAATTTCAGTCCATTTTATTTAATATAACGTTGTTAAAAACGATTTTTTGGAAATAATAGTACTCTTACTTTTTATAAAAAATTTAATAGATATTACTAAAGTCCGATTTAATATCTATAAAAAAAATTGGTCTCCCATAATTGTTAAAAATGATTTATAAGTGTATAGTATAATATTTTCCAGAAAAGATGTGTCTTTGTTAAAGTACCATGTTAATAAGTTTTTTTATACTTGATATAATTTAAAGGATTATTCATTTAGGTTAAAATAACATTCAATCAATAAAAGTGTTATATTTCGATGGTTATTGCTAGATATAGAATGAAAATGTTTTATTTATAATTCCATGTATTTATTATAATTCAGGGGACGAGAGGTTGAACCTGACATTCTATTGTTTAAAATTATGTTTATTTATAAAAAGATATATTTTTTATTAACCTACAGGTTTGGGCCATATAATTTTTGTTTAAAATAAACCCAGGCCGGGCTTAAATTTAAAAAAAAATATTTGGGGCTGGCCTGACCGATTTATTTTCTTCTATAAATTAATCATTATCTAATAAAATAAATAGAAAAAAAATATTTTAAAATTTTTGTAAGAGTGAATAATATTTCACATTCATTCACTTCCCATATTTCCTAAATTATTTCAAAACCATATTATCAAAAATTTTTTTATATACCTGAGATGAGTTGAATATTTTTTTAAAAAAATGCGAGCTAAACCAAAATCTTTTTAAAAAATAACTGGGCAATTGGTATCTGCAGGTCTCTGATATTTTTTGTTTTCAAAGATTTTTACTGAGAAAGATATAAAAATTGTGAATTAATTAAGTGATTCACCATTATAGGTGATAAATTTATATTTTTTAAATTATTCTGCCCATAATAACTATTGGAATCAAGATTTTATAACTTTGAAAAAGGAAATTCAATTTATTACTAATTCATTATATTATAAGATTATTTGCCCATATAGCATATTTAATGAATATTAATAAAAAATATTGCTGTCCCAATATTTTCATTGTTTTTAGCTATTTTATGATTGTATATTAAAAAATTATATTATATAAATAATTTCACAATATTAAATTAATGATAGGGACTAAAATAAAGTTTATTTATTTTAATGTTTAAAAAAATAGTTAATAAATTTTATTTACTCTTCTTTGTTATAATTATGCAATAAATAAAGAGTTTTAAAATATTTAACAAGTCTCATTCAACTAGTGTTGTTAAACGACCCTATTTAGCCAATTTTTTTTGACCAATTGTAAATTAACTCAAGCCTATTTTTGCCCATTAATGGCTGAAGGTTGGACTTCTATTGTGCTTAGGTAATACCTTTTAAAAAATTAGTTAAATGGAGCTTTTTAACAACACTACATTTACCCAAAACATTGCAAAGAGATTATTAACTTTTGGAGAATAAAAAAATAAAATACACTTAATCATTCATGAAAGTTAGTTGACTTTTTTTTAGCCTTAATAAAAATATGTTCGAAATCTCATTTTTCTTGCTCATTTAACATGGAATGACCATTTTATGAAAATTTATGCCATATTATTAATAAATCGATTAGTGTCTTAGAATGTTTATAATAAAAGCGCTTTTTAATGAATGTATAAGACACTTACACAAATATCCAATTCATACATAGCTAAAATAGCTCACAAACATCCTTTACTAAGCAATGACTCATTGGAAATTTAGAGCAAGAATGCTATTTTTTACTAGATTAAACAGAACAGGCTGCACTACTTTTTGAGAAAAAAAGTATTCAACTATGAAAATATTTGGTGTACCTGCAACTATTGCACCTAGCAAAATGATATAAATGCATGTGATCACTGTTGGATTATGCAAAGTATATTTATGGAACAAAGATAATTTAAATGATGGATTTTATTTTATGCAAAACAAATTTTACTTTTTTTTTATAGTTTATGTAACAAGATTAATTTAAATGATGGATTTTATTTTATGCAAAACAAATTTTACATTTTTTTTATAGTTTATGTAACAAGATTAATTTAAATGATGGATTTTATTTTATGTATTTTTTCTTCCAAAAATTATAATTTTACTATATAAATAGCAATTGTTTTTTACACAAGATTAATCGGATGATATTTTGAAAATAAAATTAATAAAAAAGGAAAGAGTTAATAAAGAAAAGGTAAATATACAATTTGATAAATTAGAATTATTGAGAGGAATTATATTATATATTTTAGGTACTCAAGGGTAAGTAATTAAACATCATTATTATTAGAATTAATCTTTTATTTTAATAAAGAAAGATTTAACAACCCTTGGATTCTTAATTGCTCTCCCAATACTGATTAAACACCCTGAGTTAAGTTCGGATTTATAACAATTTGGTGCCGAAACCCGGGACCTGTTAGATATTCACGTAGGAATTCAAAGGTAAAAACAAATCTATTTTATGTTATGTAAATTATTATTACTTTTATTTATTATAGTAGTAATTTTATATTTATACAATTTTTTAAAATTATTTTAATCAAGTGGTTATTGAGTACACTTTAATGTATATTACGCAAATAAATTTATTAAGTTTAATACTTGAAAATATAAGTATAATTATATTTTTGGTGCTAATTTTAAGTTTCACGTTAGGTTTAATTATAGGAAGAAATACGACTTACGTTAAGATAGAGATTAAAGAGTTAGAAAATATTAAGAATATATTAAGAGAGGAAGATAAGAAAAGAAATATAAACAACTTCATACGAACGGATAATTACAGACAGATAATTTGCTATAGTTGTGGTCAGCCGGGCTACATGTCGCGCCAGTGTGAGATAACGAAGAATCTAAGATGCGCGAGGTGTGGCAAGAATGGCCATGTGGCTATAAGTTGCAGAGTAAACAATTCAATTGTAAGGTGCAATAATTGTGCCCAAGAAGGACACACACAAGAAAATTGCAATAAATGACTAAGAGAGAAATATTTTAATTTTAATGATAAATTTTGTAATGATAATAATTTTTCTAATGTTAATAGTTTTAATTCAGGTAAGAATAAATATTTTAATTTTAATGATAAATTTTGTAATGATAATAATTTTTCTAATGTTGATAATTTTAATTCAGGTAAGAATAAATATTTTAATTTTAATGATAAATTTTGTAATGATAATAATTTTTCTAAGGTTGATAATTCTAGTTCAGGTAAGAATAAATATTTTAATTATAATGATAAATTTGGTAATGATAATAATTTTTTTAACGTTGATAATTTAGTAGAAAATAAGAATAAAGATTTTAATTTTAATAATGATAATTTGGATAATGTTGATAATGCTAGTGCAAGTAAGAATAATTATGGTAATAAGAACGAGAAATTTTGCGATGATAAAAAGTGCTTTAACGTTGATAATTATAATTCAAGCGATATTAATAGAAGTGATATAAAGATAAAAAGTAGAGATTTTGAAATATATAGAATTAAAAAGGCAACTAGGGTAGACGTACTAAAGATGGAATTAGAGAATTTTTTAATGAAAAATAGATGCCCTAGAGTAAAGATAAACATGGAGGAAGCAGAAATTTGTTTTTTATTAGATACAGGAGCAGAAATTAGTTTAATAAGTATAAAGGATTTTATGAGATTTTGGCCAGAGAAAGAGTTTGTTACTAAAAAGATAAGAGCCAAACAATTGGATGGTAGCATGGTGAAAATTTTAGGGTATTATAGGGTAAGGTTACCAAGAGTTAATAAAAGTATAAATTTGTGGATAACGACGTTGAAGATTGAACCGATTTTAGGATGGGATGATATAAGAACGTTAGGTCCAGTTTATAATTGGTGGAAATTTTTCGATACTATCCCTGTAAGTAATGATGAAAATAGTGAAAGGATAGATTTCGATAGATTTAAGTTACCTATTATAGAGGATAAACAAGAATTAGTTCTCGATAAACTTAGAAATCGAACACCAGAATTTTTGATTAAATATAGAAGCAACTTAGAAGAAAATAAGAAAACAAGAGATACAAAGACAATAGAGGTAAATTCAGTCGAAATTAAACAAGAAATTAATAATATGGTAGACCAGAATGTTGTTGAAGATATTGTTGACAAAGAAATAAAGATTATTTTGAATAGGTATAATGAAGTCTTTAAAGAAGAATTAGGTACTCTGAAAAATTTTGAAGTAGATATACGATTAGAAGAAAATTATAGGCCTAAGTTTTGCGGCATAAGAAGATTACCGTTTTCCTGGATAGAAGAGATAGATAAAGAATTAGATAAATGGTTAAAAGACGGAATAATAAAACCAATAGTGCATAGTGAATGGGCAACACCTTTAGTGCCCATAAGAAAAACAGATAACAGTTTAAGATTGTGTATAGACTATAGAGTAACAGTTAATAAGTGCGTAATAAATGAAAAGTATCCACTACCTAGAATAGAACAGCTGCTAGCGAATTTAAGAGGAGACACCCTGTTTTCAAAGATTGATTTTTCGAATGCTTATTTGCAAATTAAGGTGAGTGAAAAGACAAGTAAGATACTAACGATTACAACTCATAGAGGTTTGTTTGCATTCTGCCGATTACCTTTTGGTTTGAAAATATCAGCGCCAATATTTCAAAGAACGATGACGGCGTTATTTCAAGGAATAAAAGGAATAATGTATTATTTAGATGATGTTTTGATATCTGGTAGAACAGAAGAAGAACACAATTCGAGATTAGTTAA